TTCTTCACCAAGAAACTACCAGAACCAGGTTCTTACAAGCAGATTCTACTAACTATTTAACAATTAATTCCAATATGAAAATATAAATTGTCCAAATTAACAGAACAGGAAATAGAATACTTAAATAGCCCTTTTAGAAAAACAAAACAGCCACAAATGAAACTCCAAAGAAAAAAAGACTAGGACAATATGGATTTAAAAGAGAATTCTATTAAACATTTAAAGACCAATTAATTCCAACACTCCATAAACTGTTTTGGGGAAAAAAACAAAACAAAACAGGAAAAGAAAGGGTACTACTAAATTCTTTCTATGACATAAATATGGTCTTGACACCTAAATCAGGGAGAGTCAAAACAGAGAAAGAAAAACAGTAGACCAATTTCCCTAATGTAAATGTATGCAAAAATTTTAATTAAATATTAGCAAGGAAAGGAATGTAGTCTATCACAAAGATTATATATATTATGTCCAAGCTAGATTTATACTAAGAATTACTGGCAAAACTAATTAACCAAAAAGTAAAAAAAAAATTATATGATTTTATCAATAGATGCAAAAAAAGTTGTGACAAAATAAAATAAAATTACTGTTAACAACACTAGAAAAGGATAGAAATAGAGCTTTCCTTAAAATCCTTAAAATGACAAGTAATGTCTAGCTAAAACCAAAAGCCAGAATTATCCGTAATGAGGATATGCTAGAGCTCTGCCTTTCCAGTACGATTAGAAGTAAAGCAAAGGATGGGGCAGCTAGGTGGTGCAGTGGATAGAGCGCCAGCCCTGGATTCAGGAGGACCTGAGTTCAAATCCAGCCTCAGACACACAATAACACTTACTAGCTGTGTGACCCTGGGCAAGTCACTTAACCCCATTGCCCAACCCAAAAAAAAAAAGTAAAGCAAAGGTATATCACCACTACTACCCAAATATTGTGCTAGAAATGCTAGCTATAGCAATAAGACTAAAAAAAGAAACTGGAAGAATATGCATAGCCAATGAGGCAACACAATTATTGCTTCTTGCAGTTGATAAAATGGTTTACTTAGAGATGCCTAGCTAGTCAACTACAAAACTAAATTAAATAATTAACAACTTCAGCTAAGTTGCAGATTATAAAACAAACCCACACAAATCCAAGAGAAATTACATTTAAATTACACACACAGTAGAAAATACTTGGGAGTCAATATGTCAAAACATACACAGAAACAATATGAACACAATTACAAAACACTCTTTACACAAATAAAAACAGATCTAAATAACTGGAGAAATATAAATTGCTCCTGGGCAGGCCAAGACAATAAAAAAAAACAGTACTATCTATTAGTTTACTTATTCAGACCCATACCAAACAAACTATCAAAGGACTACTTTATAGAACTAGGAAAAAAATGATAAAATTCATCTAAAGGAACAATTGAGCAAGAATGGGGGGAGAGGACAAGTCATTTAAATATTCAGAAACTGTACTAAGCATTAGTGTTACCTTTATTTGATCATTAGCACTGTGAGGTAGTTGCTATTATTATCTCCATTTTACAGTTGAGGAAACTGAGACAAATAGAAGTCCAGTGACTTCCTGAGAATCACACAGCTGGCAAAGGTCTGAGGCCATATTTAAACTCAGGTCTTTTTGATTCCAAGTCCAGTGTAACTACCTCCATTATCTTTCTAATGAGATGACATAATAAAAAGAATATATCAAGTAAATTAAAGAAAAAAAAAGAGGGGAAGGAAGGGAGCCTATCAGTACCAGCTTGCAAACTATATTACAAAGCCATAACCATCAAAATAATCTGGGTAAGAAATAGAGTGGTTTGATCAGTAGAACAGATTAGGTATATGATATACAGAAGCAAATACACACAGTAGCTTTGTGTTTGAAAAACCCAAAGATATCAGCTATTGGGCAAAAATTCACTATTCAACAAAAACTGTTGGGAAAACTAGAAAGCAGTCTGACAGTAACTAAATATATAACAACATCTCATACCGCACAAAAAAGTAAGTTCCAAATGAGTACATAATTTAGACATAAAGGCTGACATCATAAACTCATTTAAAGGTACATAGGAGAAATTAACCATCAGATCTATGGTTAGGCGAAAAGTTCACACCCAAACAAGAGATACAGAGGTTCACAGGAGATAAAAATAAGAATCTTAATTACATAAAATTAAGAAGTTCTTGCACAAACAAAACCACTACAGCTAAAACTAGAAGAGAAGCAGGAAATTGGGGGGGAAAGGGAGGGGAGTTTGGCAATAACTTTCCCTGAAAGGCGTCATTTCTAAAAATACATAGAGAACTTAGCTTTAGCAGAAAAAGAGCCATTACCCAACTGATAAAGGGTCAAAGGAGACAAATATGTGATTTTTCAGAGGAAGAAATTCACACTATCAATAGCCATATGAAGAAAATGTTCTAAATCAGAGGTGTCGAACACATGGTCTAAAACACATCCTGAATGTGGTGGCAAGAACCAGAAATTAAGGGGATTCCTATCAATTGGGGAATGGCTAAACAAGTTGTGGTACATGATTGGATAAAATACTACTGTGCTATAAGAAACGATGAGCAGGTTGATTTTAGAAAAACATAGACTTGCATGAAATAATGAAGAGTGAAACGAACAGAACCAAGAGAATGCTGTATAAAGTAACAGCAATATTGTTCAAAGGATAACTGTGAACTAAGTTATTCTGAGTATTATAAATACCGAAATCAACTTATGAAGGAAGATGCTATAAACCTCCAGAGAAAGAACTGATAAACAGAAGTACACATAGTACAATTTTACATACATACATACATACATGAGAGCAAGAGAAAGAGAGAGAGGGAAAGAAATGGTGGCCTTCTCTAGTGGAGCCATCAGTGGGGAGAGTGGGAGGGAGTCATTTGGGAAACTAAAAAGCAACTCAAAAAAATTTTAATTTAATTTTAAAAATAGAATGCAGCCTGCAACACTTCTGAGTGGCCCCAACCACAGTATACAGTTGAAAAATGAGAGAGAAATAAAGAAGTGAAGCTAACTAGTAAAGGTGGCATAATGTTTTGTTTTTAAAGAAATCTGGTTTGAAAGGGAGTAGTGATATAAGATGACAGCTTGAGGCATGGAAGTGTTAAGCAAAGTTTTCTTAAAGATAAGTGAGATCTGGGAATGTTTATATGCAGTACAGAAGGAACCAGGACATGAGGAAATAATCTGGTAGACTACAATGGCTGCAGAGTATAGACAGACAGAAAGACAGATATATACCAGGTATCTACGTATATCTACACATATTCATATACACACACATACATATATACATACATATAGAAGTCTGGTACCACTCTTTAGCCAGTAATCCTAACCCAAAAGAACAGATTTTATTTGAATAGACCCCTTCAGAGTTGAAAGGGATCTTAAAAGATCATCTAGTTCAACTTCTTTAATATTACTGATGGAAAAAGTGAAGTTCTGGGTAAACTGATCATAAAGCAAATTAGCAGCAGATCCTAGAAGAGATACCACATCTCCTAATTCCACAGTATTCCCAGTACTAGTTTCAATGAGATGAGGTTGACAATAAAAGAAAGCTATAACAAAAAATCAGGTGGTGGAAAATCACCTGACCTCTCTGTACCCCCAGGCCACTCTCTAAATCCCAATATTACAAAGCAGGTGTCTATCTGTATTTGTAAAGAGTTTCCTAAATAGGAGTTCCCTATGCAAATGAAATGACAAGTTCAGTCCAAAACAAAACAAATTAAAAAAATCTGGGAGCCTATTCAAAATCCATTTATGGAAAGGACAGTAACTTTATGGCAAGTCAAATTGATCCTGTGGGACCACCACCAATTCAGCTGCTTGAGAGAAAAAGCAAATCTTCACAAAAATCAGATGCTTTATCTTAGCTTAGATCACTCAGATGAACTTAAGATATCCAGAGAAGTTGGATGCTATGGGTCTAGCTAAAATGGAGAGCTTGACACAGAGGCTGAGTTAGGGAAGTTGTACAACAAATTCCTGTTCAGGATTTGCACCACTCAAAATATTTTCTTGCATCTACACCTCTTCAAAAGGAAACATTTTTATTTTATTTAGTAATAAGTTCTAGTTAGCAATACTGAAATACTGATCCAGATGACAGACGATAGAATATCTCCTCAGTAAAAGTGGGGAACTATATATAGATGCCCAACTTTGCATATGCTGTCAGATTCTGTTGCTGAATGGGTTGGTTTTGCTTAACTCCCTTTGTTATAAGGGAAGGTCTCTGGGATGGGAAGATAATACTGAGAAATAACAGTGGTGAAAGAAAACTTTAACTAAAACTTGATCAATAAAACTTAAAACAAGATAAATTCCAGTTAGTTAAGTTTCTTGAATGTTCAAGCACAACTACTACCTCACATAGCCTAAGAAAGTAAAATGTGTCAGATTCTTTTGCTTTTCAGTAACCACTTCAAAATCTTTCGTTGTTCTTAAACTATAGTCAGTCTCTCCATTCTACTCTGAAAGATGCTCTTCCACTACTGTGACCTTTGTGTCCATGTCACACACATTTACTCATTACAGTTATGTTGCAGAAACCACTCCTCTCTATTCTTTTGAATTTAAAAAAGGCATTCTAAGGGCAGGTAGGTGGCAGAGGGGATAGAGCACCGACCCTGACATCAGGAAAATGTGAGTTCAAATCCAGCATCAGACCAGACACCTGACACTAGCAGTGTGACCCTGGACAAGCCACTTAAACCCAACTGCCTCACCTAAAAAAAAAAAAAAAAGGCAGTCTGAAATGTACCAAGGTCAAGTGACCTTGCATATAGTAACAATTTATGTCAGCTAAGAAACTATTCCTTTACCATAAAGTAAAAAAAATATCCATTTACAGAAGGTAGATGGGTAAAATTTCTTATTTACCTGTGAGCCTCTCAATCATGTAATATATTTGAGGCCTGTTTAAAGTCATAAAGATAACTAAATATATTTAGAAATATACTTACCAGGATGATTAGAAATGGGAGGTTGGAATGCAATCTCATTGTGAACTGGCCCTAGAGAAACAATAACAAAATTCCAACACTATTAATTTCCCCTATAGTCTAAAACTTTGAATAATCCTTTCTTGTGTACAACTCATAGACCTTCTAAAGATATTTAGTGCATCACCTAAGCTAATGACATATTTCCAAGAAATGAATTTGTTTTATTATTGAGTAAATATTTTAAGAGATTTGAATTTCATTCCTTTATATTTTTTCTAATGACTATCACAAAGAATGATCTAAATGATGTAAGTCAGAATATTGATAAACTTAACCCTTCTCAGTAATACAAGGATCTAAGACATCCCCAGAGGCCTCATGATGGAAAATGCTATCCACATCCAAAGAAAGAACTATGAAGTTGAATCACTATCACTTTTTTTTCTCTTCTGTTGAGTTTTGTTTCCTCTTTCTAATGGTTCCTCCTATTGGTTTTAATTTTTACTTACAACTTCACTAATGAAAATATGTTTAATAGGAATGTAAAAAAATATAATAATAACGTAAGTCAGTTCTAAATGTAAGTTTACTGACTGATAAAAGATCAACTGCCAAAGCTTTTAAATATTCACGTTCTTGTTAAATTAATCCTAATCACTCCTCCAGTTCTCACTGATTATTTGGTTGAGGGCTTTGCTAGAAATGTGCTTCTCAATCAAATCTATGCTAGGCACCAAGAATATATCTTGGCAGTCCTTATCTGAAATGCTCATTCTGTGCTGATGATTAGCAGAGGCTTAGCCCCTTGCACTCCAGGATCTTACCATCTAGTTGGTAATACATAGCATATATATGTACATATATACATAAATAATGTGAAAAAGACAAAGACCATTAACAAAACACTAAAATGAGTGGAAATTAATAGTGTTAATAACATATAAGTGTTGATACAGGACATGAATTCAGAACTATTAAAAATAAGCAATGCTTACAAAGAAATGTCAAAAGGTAGTTGTTTAGCAAAACAAAATTATAGGTGTTTTAGTCATTTTTTTTAAAAATCCCATGATTGAGAAGTAAAGGTTAATAAAACATCCTGTATCAAAACAAACAAACAAAATCCCCAAAGCAGCTTACAGTAATGTCCAGGATGGGGTGGCATAGGCGGATGATGCTGAAGATGACCATTTTGGTGGTGAGGTATATTAGGCGTATATGCTGTAGTTCTACTTCCAGTCCAGGTGGTAGTACTGTCTAAAAATTAAGATCCAAAGGGATTAATTTAGATGCTACCTATTTTCTCAAGAATCTGAGAGTTTTAAAGAACAGTAACAACCATGTACGTACTATGATGGTAAGTAGCTGGCTGGGCAGTAAATCCATTCTGCTGCTGTCCTGGCTGAGGTCCTGAAGCTATCTGCAAAAGTCCCTCACTATGGCTGCCTGTCAATATACTGGTAGGCTGACCTGGAGAAACAACAGTTTTTATGTTTACAAGATAAAATATGATTTGTATCACTGATTTTCTATATCGGATAAAAGATTTCTAACACTATAATTCATCTGTTCTTTCAGGATACAAAAAAGTTCTACTAATAATCACCACTATAAAAACAGGCAGAGAAAACCCCTAGAAATCAACCGTTGTTTTGGCTTTTTAATAAAAGAACAAAAATCTGAAATAATCCATAAGTAAAACAATTCCTTGTGTCTGAAGTAGGATAAAAAAGGTAGTTTTACATTACATAACATCTGGAATAACTTATGGTGGCCTATTTATTCAGAATGCTTTAAAAAAAAGCTATTACTATAGTCCAAATGCCATAAAAATCCTCCCAGTCCCTCTGATATCCACCATACCTGATCCATTCTGATAACCCCTCTAGAAGCTCGCCAGCTTGCTCCTTGATCCACACCTGGCCATCTGTTCCAGTTTCCTCAGGACTCTTCTGAATAGAACTCCAAAGTCCCAGGACCAAGAAAACTATGTACTAAGTTGCCAATTTTCACTTTAAAAACTGACAAATTAACTCTTCTAAAATTCTGATTTTGCTTTCTGTTTCAGAGTGGTTGGGTAAACTATGAAAGAATATTAGGAGGATTAAATAATCTGCTGGTACTAGATTAATGGTAATGGCATAGTTTGGGGCTAGCACTAAAGCTGCAGAATGGAATCTAGGGGCAAGTGGGAAGAGAAGAAGTTGAGCTATAGGGAAGAAGCTAAGCTGTTGGAGTTGATGGCCTTAGAGCTGCCAAGAGGCTGTAGCAAGGTTTTGGAGAGAGATAAAGAGAAGAACTATTTCTAATGGGAGATAAGGAAACATACAGAGAAAAAAAAGATCAAGAATATGAATCACGGCTTATTCTCCTACCAAGGGACTGCTAACAGCAGTTGCTATTTAACTACACAACTAAGTCTGACAACACCAGACTATTTTAATGGCTGATATGTGCATTTAAAAGGGAAAAAAAGAACCACCTCTTTTCATTTCATTCTTTTCCAGGAATTTTAGTGTGTTTCTGGGCTTAAAGCAGTCTAGTACTAAAAAGATAATTGTACTCTTCTGTGTCCATTTCATGAAAGTAAGTCATTTCCAGTACAGGTATTTTTCTACCCTAAAGAACCTCACCCTAAATATTTTAATCTAGATGATGGAAGTTATAATGCTGAAGAAGAACTCCTACCAAGATTTTACCTTTCCCTGCCACCAAAAGAATGTACCAGTAGTAATTGGTTTCTCTAAAAGGAAGAAGAGGAATGTCCTCCCCAACAAGAATGTCCTCCTCAGTAAAATAAAATGTTAACCTAAGTGTCTGCTTTTTACATTGAAATTTACTATCTAGTTTATTAAAAGGTTTAAAAAAGTACCGTCCTTGAAACACACATAGTATACACATAACACTAGTAACTTTTTTTGAGGGGGCACTAAAAAAATACTTAAAAGGGCTCAAAACTTGAATCAAGAAAAAAAACCCTACTATTCATAGTTCAATAGCACTTTAATTTTTATAATTTCCTTACCCTCTAGTGTTTTCTACTCAACTAAATCGATGTTCTGTGCAGATGGAGCGAATGAAAGGTCAAAACACAGAACATTCTCCCTCCCCATGCCACAAACCACATTCCCTCAATACCAAAAGATTAAATTCAAAAGGTAAAAAGAGGAAAATATTCTTCCTATAAAATAAAATAATATCACATTTTAACAATCTGAACAAAAAATAAAAATCAGTGTGAAGTTTTTATATCCAACTAGGCAAAAGAAGCTACTTTGTTCCCTTCCAAAGCTCAATTCTTCAGCTATTCCCATTGGAAAGAAAGAGTATATAACAATAATGACATTAACTGAAGTTCACTTGATATTTAGTAGAAACTGAAATGCTTAAAAAGTTTATGTTCAAATAATTAGCAAAACTTTCTCTACTGCTTATTGTCTGGATGCTTTAATTTTACAACATTATTTTTGGGTATATGAAAGAGATAATTTTTTCCCTATCACCTAATTTATTTACATTACAAGTTCTGTCAAAATACCTTTTGTTTTAAGATCCACATGAGCACTTTCTTCATCCCTTATTTGCTATAATTCCTATAATTTTTCTCTTAATATAATTCAACAACTCAATTATGAAGCAAGTGGTTTCAGGGAAAAAAACTATTAAAAAAAAGTTTAAGTCAGCAAAAGTAACTATTTCTCAAATTCTGCATTTTTTTTTTAGTCCTCAACTAGGGCCAAACTGCTCCACATCTGAGTTTTTTATGTTCTAATAACTATAAGAGTAAGACAAATTTCAATGACCTCGTGAAAAGCAAGGACTGCATTTTTGCCTTTCTTGTATCCCCAGTTTTTAGTACAGTGCCTGACACATAGTAGGGGTTTAATAAATGCTAGTTGACCAACAATAACTAATTCAATTTGCAGATTTTCTGAATTAGAGCAGATTGCAAGTGGAGGCAGAATAAGGGATGCTACATAATATATACTGCTTTTAAAAACTTTAGTGCTATTATTCCTTCAATATATAGCAACTCCACCATATAAATGAATTAGTAGACTTGCTAAAGAAGGGAGCAAATTCAGTGTTACTTGAAAACTCACAAGCATAGCATTTTAGCACCTTATTAATTACAAAGATCAATTTTTTTTAACTTTTTATCCTGAATGGGTAAACTGCTGCTATGAGCAATGAGAGAATCACACTCCTGACCAGATGATAGCCTCTAACAAAGGGACACATACTCTGTTTAGATGACGTACTCTTTTCTTGACTCTCTACCTGACTAACAGCAAACCACTGCTGGCAAACAAAAAGTAGTGATGCTAACTGCAGAGCAGTGATAATATAAACATAACTTAAATTGCTGTGGGCATGCCCTTAGTAATAAGTTGGTCCTATAAATTCTATCGTCATTTATCATTTCCCACTAAGACAGAATCAGTATAAATACATAATTATATATAGAAAGAATTTCATTTTACATTCAATTTCACTAGAATATAACCTATAGAGGAGCTATCTACATTTCAAAAATCTGTCAAAATTATCTAGGTTTTCTTCAAGTGTGTTTTTTAGGGAGAGCTGAGATCCCTGCTAATACATATTACTGAGTAATCATGATTTTTCCCAAATAATAATAAAAAGCAAATTAGATCACTAGATTAGTTCAATGTTACTATTTCTATCATCATAAATAACACCAAAACAGTTAACAACTTTGAACAGTAAAAAAATGTTCTGTAAAAGAACAAATGTTTAAAATCCTGAGACTTCTTAATATCTTGCCTACAACATTACATATTATATTAATAGGGTCATTAACACAAAGCTATAATTCAATATTCAAACCTCAAATATAATCCTACTAATATTTATAAATATCTTTGGCTATATTACAAATTTTAACTTACTTTCCAAGATCAATTCATAGACTAATGAATACTTGTTATGTGGCCAAGCACTTATTAAGGATACCATGACAATTCTTTCACTTTAATTTCTTGGACTTCATGTGGAAAATCTAATTACATAAAAGTGGTCTAGTTTAGGTGATCTTTATTTGCTGATTCCTCATTTTGTATATCACTCACTTGTGGAAGCCACAGGAATGTTGGGAAAGTTAGTGGTGCTGGTAGTGTTAGACTCAGACGGAGCTAACATGGCTGGGTTGGTGTATGTCTCTGAAGATGCACGGTTACTTGGTGGATGCTGTATGGTTTGAATTGAATGTCCTTCAGTGGACAATGATGGCTGTCCCTCAAAGTCATGAACATACTCGTCCTTCACCAACATACTTGATGGAGCTGTATTAAAAGTTAAACAAATGTAAAATCCTATCAAAATAAAATAGCGTAGTAAGCATTAAAAAAAAACTATTAAATTCCTGTGGTGAAAACCCTAATCACAATTAAGAACCACCTTAAACTCAGGGGAGATTACTTATTTAATTATTATTTATTTCTTTGAACATGGGAAGGCATCAGTTAACACCAATGTATAGACTATTTGCCTGATCTGTGGGATACCCTGAAGCTTCTTATTGTCTCAAAGGTATGGCACTGTAAGCTGTGATCTAGCACTACAAAGATAAACACCATTAAAGCAACTTTTAGATTCCTGAGCAACAAAAGAAAATTAGAATTTAACTAATTAATTGACTTGCAACTACCACCATAAGAATAATATGTTTAATTGTTATAATGACACAAGACAAAGTATGGGAAAACATTTTTTCTTCTAACTGAAGACTCCAATTTTTCAAGCCACATTTAGGAAGAGAAATGTACAATTACAGCACTTTGCTTTATTATTTAGTGGAGAAGACAGGTAAGGTTAACACCTGATATTTCATATGTCAAATAAAGTTACAGATGAGTACCTTTTTTTTTCTCTAAACCTAAAGAATTTCAGATATCACTACTGCTGGGGTGTGCTAGAGCCAGGTCAGCCATTGAGCCAAATGTTAAATTGTCAAGGTGAGCACTTACATCTGGGAAATGCCATAAATCAGGGCTTGATTTATTGTTCTGTTGATTGTCTACACTAAAAAGTGATAGAGAATATGTTAATAATGTAGACTAAACTTAAATGTGGTACTTTGAAAAACCAGTTATTAAATATTTACCAGCACACCCTCTGGGAATCATATAGCCCCTATGTAATAGAGAGGTCAAACCAATACTTCTTCCTAAAAGCTAGATAGAAACATGATAAACTTATGGTATTATGAACAATTCAATGAAAAATAGCTCTCTGGATGTTCTTTTTTTAAAAATGGAGCTAAACAAACTACTTGGTTTTTGAATCTTTAGATTACAGTTCCCACACAAATTCAGATTTTTAAAAATTTTCTTTTAAGATGTAAATTTGCCCTACTTTTCTGTATCAAGAATTTTCTCCACACTAAAAACCAAAGAAAGAATGGGAATCTGTATCAGGGAAAAGATCATACAGGAGATCAAAGGATACTGTGAGGGGTGGCAGGTCTGGATGCATTACTACTGTAGAAAACAAGGTATACCCATAGTTGCACTGTCACAATTTTCTAAGAGGAGCAAAGAATGAACTTTTCTTGGTTTAACAAAACTAAAGTAGCACAGTATCTCAGATCTGTCATGTCTTCACCAGATTTCCCCTTTGATAATTATAAATATCACTTAGGTATATTAAAACTATATATAGGCACTAGTGATTCAGCTAGATAGTTCTGCTGAAGCAAGTCATCCAATGAAATCTCAGTGGAGAAGCTAAATGGAATGGAAATATCTTTGTTCAGGTCTGAAAGATTTGTGTGTTCTATGAGGAAAGGAGACACAGAAGGCAACACTTAGAGGACCAACACTAGAGGGAGGCAAAGTACATGGCATACTACCATGAATAACTAGTGAGATACCTAAAAGCTTCCTGCTCCACAAATGAAAAAAGCAAATTGGCGAGTGATGTCTAAGTCCTTCCACTCACTATCATCATAAACACCACAGTGGTGGGTAGGGAGTAGATCTGAAAAATCTAAGGCATATAACCTCAAAGGTATTAAAGTCCTGCATTGCATCTACAATGGGTGACGTGGTAGATGGTTGGCTCCTGGTGAATAAAAAAGTTAGATATCCCTTTGAGGAGACGGAAGGAGTTTTTTCAGAAAATACAAAGATAAAATGCTTAGAGAGGCAGACCGATATAAGTGAACTTTGGTATTAGCAAGACCTGGCTTCAAGTTTCGCCTTCAACACATACTAGCTATGTGAAGATGGTCAAGTTACTTAACCAACAAAGGTAAAGGAAGTTTCCACATCCAGAGTTCTCTGCACCAGAGAAATCAAAGGTACAGCTCTCCCCACAAAATGACAATCATTCACTTACACAGTACATTAAGAATTTTAAAGTACTTTTTCCCCTGTCACAACAATCCTATGAGATAAGTTAGTATACATTATTTCATCATTTAATAATGAGAAAGTGGAGACTCAGAAAAGCAAAACACAGCTAGTAAATGGCAGGAAGGTCTTTAAACCACTTCTGATTCCAACTCCAGATTCCTCCCTTTTCACAAGAGATAACACTGAGCCACCATCAGGACCCTATACAGTTCTGAATTACCCATACTTGCCCAATCTTTCCTAGAATAACAAAACACATTTGCAACATGAATGAATCAAAAAGCAATTACTTACAATGTGCTGGGAATTTTACTAAGTGACATGAGTGCTTCTAGAGGGAGAAGTATAATTCTCATGGATAGAGAAGTTTATTTGTGCAAATTTAACTGATTCATCATTAGCAACAAGCTCAAAAGTAACCAAACTTCAGTTCTTAAAGCAAAACTCACTTGCCAATCATAACAATGACTCAGTGATTCATTCTACAGCCCTAGGGAAAAAATGGCCCATTCATGTTTCAATTGTCCTACCTACAGGTAGGGTATGCTGGTAAAGATCTCTAAAAAAGAAAAATGTGCCCAGGATGCATTTTTAAGTTTAATCAGCCTTATTACCATTTTCTTAAGTCTAGACGCTCAACAAAACAATAAATCAAGCCCTGGTTTATAGCTGGGGGATTTCACAAATGCAAATGCTCATACTGAAAATTTAACAATCTTCTTTCTGGAACCTGTTCCACATGGCTCTAGCACACCCCTGACTATAATAGCTATCTCTTACTTTTTTTTTTAAATAAACTAAAAAAAATCACAGCCCTTAAGACAATAATTATAGATAACCCAAGTAATGTTGTGATTAACTTTCTTGATTAACACTAGCTTTTTCTAAAGCAGAATAAGCACTGCTAAAATGTCTGATTTTAATTAAAATTTTAAATTAAATATGGTGATGAAAATATTACCTGCTATTTTGGAAAACAGAAGCTAAGACATCAATACTATAGATATTTCTAAGTTATTTCTAAGAATGCAATATTCTAGTTGTTTTTTATTGGAAAACTGGTTATTCCCCCTTAAAACTACTACTGCAAAGTTCTTCCAAAAGTAGTATTGTGACTTTCCTTTTAATTCATTAAACTTCAATCCTAAAATCCACCTTCCCTTTGCCTAATAATATCTATGTGTAATTTTTGTCATACTGCTTTAGAGTATCTTTGTACAGGTTCCCAACACTGGCAAATGATTAAGGCTAATTCAAACTTAGATGACAAACAAATAATTTTAAATGATTCAACTCTTTTTTTTTTTCACAACTGATGCATCCAAAATAAATTTAAAGAGTAGGTTCCTGTTAATATTATTAATCAAACTAATGCCAAACTAGAGGAAAATACAGAAAGTAGAAACAATTACTAAAAACAGATTACCTACCAGAACTTTGTAGTGTCAATCCTGAGAGATCTTAATTTGAGAAGGGGAGATGACAGTAGAAGGGAAAAAAGGAGGGAAAAAGATGTTAACACCATGGAACCAGACAGCAAATATGAAAACCCATAATCATGTATTACAATACCAAAACTGAGTACCAAATACACATTCAACTACAAATACAATAAGACAATTTTATTTTGAAAAAAAGTTTTAAAAATTTTGATTGATTCATTTGAAGTAACTAAACATTACATAAGAACTATTTTTTGATTCACAACTAAGATAGCGTTAACTTTATAATCATTAACTTAATTAAAAAGTACTACGCTCTTAAATCTTTTGCTAAATAATTCCATTAGTAAATGATTAGTCTACCTACCAATGCCAGGTGATACAACTCTTTCATAATGATATGGATTCACACAGACACTATCACATTTTAGGTCAAAAGCATACTGACAGTATTTCACATGTTTAAGTTCATTTTTGTGAAGATCAGGCCACCTCCAGAGACGAGCATATATAACATGAGGGAAACCTTTCCGACCAGCCACCTAGGAAGTTTTAAAATAATTTTAAAATGTGCATCATAAATGTAAATTCTGAAACTGTCTAAAATACTGAAATATAAATTCAAGAAGATAATAGGTTCCATTATGCTCCCAGAGAAATTTTAGGCTTAAAAGACTGGCTATGAGAGTCTACCTATAAAATCTGAATGGTAAACAATTCACTGAATGGGAACCAGAGACCATGACATAAAAACATCTAATTATTATCTCATGAAATGAACTGTTTACAAAAACATCTAAGATCATGGTATAAACTCAATATTAAATTCTTTAGTCTATAAGTTAAAGAGGAGGGAAAAGTTTTATAGCTTTCAATATAATGCAAATGCTAGATGCATATCTTTTTTAAAAAATAACATTCTAAGATATTAAGATACATAGTAAAGAAAAACAAGTTGCTTTTATTAAAAAAAAATTTTAATTAGGTTTAATTCATAGTATTAAAGTATCTTCTTTGCATATATTCCTGTAATTTTTAGTCTTTCAGTGGAACAGTATTTGAAATAGGAGAATCAAACAATTTATTCTACAGTAACAAATACGTCTTAGAAAGAACTTATACTAAGAAAATAAAGTATTAACAGGAATAGAAAATCAATCATTCTAAAAGACAAGAGTAAGGTTATAGACTAGGTTGCTGCATGAGACTAACCTGAAGCCTGCCATCCAATGTCCTCTGTATCGTGACACATTTGCTGGGATGGGCGCCATTTGTAGTTATAGCTGTTATTAAAGAATCCAATTCATCCTTCTTCTCCTTCAGCTTCTTTACCAAACTTTCAATTGCTCTTTTTGCAAATGTTTCACTTTCTCCACCTTGTCTATGGCACATCAAACTATGAACAATGCTCAGACAGGCATCATTACTTGTGGGTGTGTTAGTAATAGACATATTGTCCATTTGTTACCGTTTTTTCTTTTGAATCAAATAAGTCCAAAATTCCTAAAGCAATTTTGATAGTGTTCAGGCAGCAAGGAACAAATCCCAATGCTACCCACAGGTAGAACAGTTACAGACATGTGGTATGCACGATGACCTAGGAAAAATATGAGAGAGAACAAGAGAGATTAGTAAAGCTGATTTTATTTGTTTTTAACCAAATATACTGTAACGGTGCAGCCTAAGTTCAACTCCCAATTCATATCTTACAAAATTGGGGGTTTTATTCAGATGAAAGACCCTTAGGCTGCAATTCTAATGTCCTGCTGTTTTTAAAATAATATGTTTAAATATCAGAAAGACAATACCGTCAAGTTGTTACTACTAATTAACTGTATAACTTGTTCAGTTAGTCTTTTGCAGGGGTTGGGTAAACTTAAGTTCATAATAAAAAAATTTAATAAAATATGACTCAAGAACAAAGATTAAATTCAATCATTTTAAAGTCATTAAAATAAGGTTAATAATAATTTGAAGTGCAAGATTTAAACATATTCCAAATAATCAATCATTTAATACCCTTTGAACTAGAGACGACTTATGCCCCAAGGAAGCTACTGGTAAAAAGAAAAATCCCATGTGCTCCAAAATATTTATAGCAGCATTTGCTATAATATCTAAGAATTGGAAACAAAGTAGATGCCTATCAATTGGGAAATGGCAAAACAAATTGAGGTACCTGAATGTAATGGGAGTATTATCATGCTATAAGAAATGAAGTGTGTGATGAATACAAAGAAGCATGGAAAGGCATATATGAACTGATCAAATAAGTAGAGCTAAGAAAACAATATCTATAGTAACTATAACAACATAAATGAAAAGAACCCATGAGAAAGTTATAAATAAATGTAACAAAATTATAAAGATCCAGTAGGATTCAAACTGAGATATTAGAGGACACACCCACTCCTGCCTTCTATCCACAGGCGTTACACATCACACACGTTTTCAAAATTTTTCAATGTATTGACTAGTTGTGCTTCTTCCTTGATAAAAAATACAATTTATCACAGGGGATAGCTCCCTGGGAGGGCCAGAGGGTGAATACTTGGGAAAACTATGATGATGTAAATTTACTTTTAAAAAACAAAAAAAAAAAGATAATCAACCACTTGGCACAAGTTTATCATAACATTATTTCTGCGTGATTTAAATCAAAAAGGAAATTTCACCAGAAAATAAATTATTACCATACCCGTGGTGCAAAGTACTACTTACTACTATCAATACAATAACCATTTCAAAGGGAAAAAAATCTCAAATTCTTCAAAAATTCATTTACATATATTTTGACCTTTGTGCTTAGTGCTTATACTAATACAGAACACAGCCCCTCCAACCTCTGTTTGTTACCACTGATAATAATTATAGGCTTTCCTCTTAGTCTTTTGGTATCTAAAAAGTAACAATGTTATTACTTGGACTGTCCATTTGTTTTCCTTCATTCTTACTACTTGACTGTTCTTTTTATCGGCACACCTTGACTTTAGGATGCCATTTACCTCCTCTTAAATAATTCTGGGCCTAGATCATTACTCATATCTAGTACTTCTCTCAAACATATGGAGATAGATATATGGATTAATGTAATGGGGCATATATCTAGCACAAATCTTCTACGTTATTACAAATTTCTGAAGAGCCACATGCCAAGGCTCCAGGAAATTATTAAGAAGTCATCTGTGAAGAATAACAATTGAAGAGTATCACCATCCTTTGTTTGGAATTTGCATAAGACACCTTCCCAAGACATTAACCAAATACATTTGGTGAACACATTTTCACACTGTTTAATATTTTGTCCAAATGTCAATACTTAGTGGAACAAAGTACTATCTGTAGAAATATCCATCATGGAGAATTATACAACTTTGGCACAAGAGACACCTTGTCAGAGCAAAGTCTTTAAAGCAGCATTTTACTCTGAGCCAAATGCTTTCTCAAGATCAATAAAGAAATACAATGGAAACTATATCTGTCAGTTATGTCACCACAAACATTATGATCTGCTGAGAAATATCAACTGCAAAACTTTCCCAGTCTCTGTCTCTTGTCTTTAGTGACAATGGCTTCAATGGATGGAGGGCTCACTTAAGATTTCATAGAAATAAAAAGCAGGCATACAGGTGTGAAGCAAAAATATGGGCTGCTAGTTGCTAATATCTTCTTGATAGCATTTTTAAAATTTTTGGTAAACAAATAGTCATGATTTTCCCCTTCCTGAACCTTTCAGATCTTCCTCATGACATGCATTTTAAATTGTGGTACCTCCACAGTATTCACTTGCCAGCTTCACCTTCTTATGAGTTATTTCTACTTCAGTCACATAACCACCTCTATACCTGAAGTACTGTGGTTTTACTATTGTTACTGATGGAAAAGGTCACTGAAAAATGCAGGCAGTTTGGTTTTTTACAGATGTTACCATACTCATTTCGGCTTTGTGGCACTCAGGATGACCAAACTTAGCTATCCAAGTTCTATGCTTGTTCATTTTCTCAATTGTTTTTAACAATAAGCACTCATATAGTGCTTTAAGGTTTGCAAAACACTTTACAAATACCATCTTGTTTTATCCTTACAACAATCCTGGGAGGTGTTATCACACCCATTTTACAGATGAAAAAACTGAGGCAGATTTGCCCAGGGCCACACAGCTACTAAGTAACTGAAGCTGGATCTGATCTCAGGTCTTCCTGGCTCTAGGTACAACACTCTATCAATTGCACCACCTAGCTTCCTCTACACAAAATCATTTTTTACCATTCTATGAGACAAAATATTTATATTATTTAGTAGTCATGTAGTCTAAGTTTTAGATAAGTTTGAAAAAGTTTGTCCAAAAGCTGTATAAATAAAAATAAACTCAAACACTGACCCTGAAAAAGAATCAACCAAAAATTAAACTGTGTGCCAGGCACCATGTAAATACTGGAGATACAAAGAGAGGAAAAAAGACCAATCTTCAGCTCAAGGAGCTTCTTGTTTTGTTTATTTTTGGTTTGTATTTCCCATCCCCTGAAGAAAAAAAGTTAAGTATAACAGATATTGTGTACCTGCTAACATATGCAACATTCCACACTCAAAGTTCTCCACCAATCTAACGAAAAAAAGGGTGATAACCAGTCTAAGCAGGTGGATAACATGCAAACAAATTACATACAAATAAGAGAGAGATGGGATAAACTGGAAATAAATCAACAGAGGGGAGAAAGCATTAGCATTAAGGAGGAAGGAAGGCTTCTTACAAAAGGTGAGATTTTAGCTGAGACTTGAAGGAAGCCAGGAAATACAGATGAGAAAGGAGAATTCTAGGCATGAAGGACAGCCGGTGAAAATGCTGAGCTGGAAGATGGAGTATCTTGTTCAAGGTGTCACTGGATCAAAGAATACATTGGGGGAGGAGGTACACATGTGGCCGTATTGAATAAGAAAACCAGAGGGAGACAAGTTATGAAGAGCTTTGAGTGTCAAAAGATTTTATATTTGATTCTGGAGGTGAGAGTGGGAGCCACTGGAATTTACTGAAAAGGGAGATGATATGGTCCAGACCAGTGCTATAGGAAGATCACTTTGACAGCTGAGAGGCAAATGGACTGGAGTGGGGAGAGACTTGAGGAATAAAGACCAACAAAATTATTACCATAGAGAAGAGAATATATGTATCACACTTTTTTCATGGGAGTGGTGGGAAGACTCTGGATGTGTAAAGTTGCATCAGATATGTTATCTATTGACTCTAACTCTTCTTTTTAAAAAATTTTTATTCATTTTGAACTTAAATACAAAAAGACAAAAAATTTCCATGTACACAGCAAAATAAAGAGGATTCAATATAAAACCATGAATTTTCATTTTATAGTTTACTTTTTTGAAAAACTATACGTAATAAATATTACACAACATTTTCAAAGCTATCCTGTTTTTCTGTGCTTCCTTCTAAGTTTTCTTTTATTCTCTGCTGTGCACTTCTTTTTCTCCCTCTCCCCACCCTGCCCTAGAGAATGCTATCATTAGACACAAATGTGTGTGTGGGCAAACCATACGATACATAATTCTATTTGTCAGTTCTTTCTCTGGATATGGATAGCATCTTCCTTCATAGGTCCTTTGCAGTTGATCTGAATACTTTTAACACTCAAAATGACTTATTCAAAGTTGCTCTTAGAACAATATTGTTATCGTGTACAACATTCTCTTGGTTCTGTTCATTTCGCTCTTCATTATTTCGTGCAAGTCTTTTCATGTTTTTCTAAAACCAACCAGTTCATCATTTCCTATAGCACAGTAGTATTCCATCACAATCCTACACCACATTTTGTTTAGTCGTTCTCCAACTGACAGTCATCCCCTCAATTTCCAGGCTTTGCCACCACAAGGAGAGCTACTATAAATATTTTAGAATATAATAAATCCTTTCCCTTTTTCCCTAGTCACCTTGGCAAACAGACTAATAGTGGTATTGTTGGGTCAAAGGGTACACACAGTTTTATAACTCTTTGGGCATAATTCCAGATTGCTCTCCAAAATGGTTGGATTAGTTCACAGTTCCACTAACAGTGTAGTGTCTTAATTTTTCCACACCCCCTCCAACATGTCACTTTTCCCCTCTATTATTTTAGCCAAGCTGTTAAGTCTAAAATGACATCTCAAAGTTATTTTAATTTGCATTTCTCTAATGAATTGTGATTTAGAGCATTTTCTTTCATGAGACTACAATTCTGATTTCTTCATCAAAAAACTTCCTCTTCATATCCTTTAACCATTTACCAATTAGGGAATGATTCATATTCCTAATACATTTGAAAAAGTTTTTTACATACTTAAGACGTGAAACTTTCATCTGAGAAACTATCTATAAAATTTTTCTCTCAATGTTCTGTTTTGCTTCTAATCCTCGCTACACTGATTTCATTTGTCCAAAAACCTTTTTAAGTAATCGAAATTCTCCATTTTACACCTCACAATGCTCTCTATCTCTTGCTTGTTCACAAACTGTTCAATCCACAAGTCTGATAAGTAATGTATTCTAATTTTCTTATATCTCCCTTTATATTTAGGTTATATATCCATTTTGATTTAACTCTTTTTCTT